AAACACTGAAATAAACATAGAAATTGATATGCAAAAATTTTAGTTTATAGATTCATCTATTATATTATAAGAAATTTAATTTTGTGCTAGAAATGTCTGTGGATAGAGAACTTGTGCATTTAATTAAATATTTATCATTTTATAAAATTAACTGTCTAAAAACTTTAATGCAATATAATATGAAAGGATATGTTATGTTAAATTATACAAATGCAAACTTTAATACTACAATTTCAACTATTTACTACAATTTAACTACAATTTTTTATGATAATATGAAGTTCATATATAAAAAAATTATTCAATTTTGTTAAATAACAAATTAAGTGAAATTTTCTTTACATTATTATGTTATATATGTGCATCTAAAATCGACTAAATCTACTAAACCATATTTAAAATTTTCGTTCATCCAATCGCTGAATTGTTAACTGAGAAACGAACATTGAAATACTAACATTAACATTTGTCTACTTATAGGCATTTTCAACTTAAACTTCAACTTATAACTTAACAAACATTTTTAACTTTTGGATATATTATTTAATTTATATATTCATCTACTGCCCAGAATCAATTCTTCAAACATTGTTCACGGATACAACATTGTTTACAGGAATACAGCCAATCCTTCCAGCAAATGGACGTCTTCTAAGCGATGCATAACAGATATATTTACCTTTCTTGACAGCTGCCTCGCTTTGAATGGGTTTGCTCTTCTCTTCAAGCGCTTTGGCCTTCCGTTTCCTGATGGCCTCGCTCTTCGCCTTTAACTCGCTGAAAGGTAACAACGCCTGCCTCTCCCAATCTCCAGGGGGCAGGACAATCGAATCATCCAGGAACTCATTGATCGCGGAAAGAAGCTCTCGTCTTTCGTTCGCTTTGTAAGCGACTTTATGGAACGACGTATTGGCCATTAGGGTGGCGATCGATCTACCGATTTCGTGATAATCTAGATCAGCGTTCCTCGGCCCCAGCAACGTGAACATGAATCTTACTGGTATCGTGACTTCCGTGATCGATGGAATGAACACACCCTCGGCAAGCCTGACGAATGCGATCGTAGGTTGGTCCAGAAAATCGACCGCACCGACCAGGACAACCGTGGCCTCGGCGCCAGCCGGGATCCTCTTCAATATGTAATCGTTGTGACTCTTTTTCAGATCCTCGTTGCTGCTCGTGTATGTCATTTCCTCCTTCATATCGACCACCGTGTGATTGCTGTCCAGGGCCAAGTTCGACGACACGATTTTTGGTTTCGTGTCGTTTAGATTCTACAGTGAACAGGAACACCAGTTAGTATCGCGCGAAGAACGGGTCCACCGATTTCGAATGTATGCATACGATGCGTTGGACCAGGCAGAGGTTTATTAAAAAAAAAAAAAATAAATAAAAGAAAAAAGGATTTCCGTCCCTAATTGGACAAGCGAGAGAAATAGAGAGAGAGAGAGAAAGAGAGAGAGAGAAAGAGAGAGAGAGGGAGAGAATTTTCTTCGCGTAGAGGCGGATGCTGAATCTTTGCGATATTTTTTTTCTTTCATTTCAAAAATGAGAAATTGAGGAAATGCTTTTTATTCGAGAAACTGTATACGGTTGAATATGTTTTATCAAGTGAAAAAGAATTGAGATTGAAGTTTTGCACTTATTCAAAAGAGATATTGATTTTTATTTCTGGCTTGATTTTGTTTACCAGTGAAAGATAATAAGAAATATATATTTTTTTCAATCAAAATTTTTAAATTTCTCTGTCTTGCAAATAGTAAGAGTACAATTCAATATTTGTACGTCATACGAATTTTTCCATTATTTATTACATAAATAATTATAAATTCTGTTTTCTTGTGTTAAAAGTTTCATCAAAAATAAATTTGCAATCAATATTTCATCTTAAATCTAGAATATTTTATCCAAAAAACAATTTTAAAATGATTAAGAAACTTGAAATTTTTACCAATTTCTTAAAATAATAATAATTAAACTATTTCTACATCTCTGCAAAGATATCTCTTTTTATATATAATTATTTTAACTTGATTAAAAGATGAACCTCAAATATTGCATTGTATCTTGAAAAATGAAATAATGCTAATTAGATTATTTTTAATTAACGACAGCAATAATTGGTTTATCAAATGATGAAAATATATCTTTTGCAGTTACCCAAGTATTTGCATTTACAAAATACAGTAGTGCCTGATTAACTGTTTCTGTAATGGAATTATCTCCATATTAATTTAGAGAATTAGACCTTCATTTTTGAAACAATTCTCAGACACAGCAATAATGGGTTGTCAAATGATGAAAATATATCTTTTGCAGTTACCCAAGTATTTGCATTTACAAAATGCAGTAGTGCCTGATTAACTGTTTCTGTAATGGAATTATCTCCATATTAATTCAAAGGATTGGACCTTCATTTTTGAAACAATTCTCAGAAACACTTATCTCCTGTTTCTTCTGATTATTATTCATTACTGTACAGAATCGTGTAAAGTAAAATAAATTTACACAGAATCCGCCTCTCTGTTTCAAAATTGAGGAAAAATCGCATATACCCTGCGATCTCAGAAATACATATCTCTAGGATCAAACGCTACTTAAATTTCAAGTGGTGTAGTACACTAAGCGAAAATCCGTAAAGAAAGAAATAAAAAAAAATTCTAGAACGAATCGTTAAAACTTAAGAATCGAATACTCTGCGTAATGCAACAACGAGACAACAAAGAGAGAAAACACATATGGACATATGGAGAAAGGGCAGAGAGAGAGAGAGCGTTGAAAGAGAACGACTAAACACGAGA